GCAGAGGGAAGGGAAGGAGGAGGAAAAACAGCCAGGTCTTCTGAGAGAGGAGGAGTAGGCCGGAAAGGCGAAGAGGATGGGGCCGGGCCGGGCTAGGGAGGAGAGGCTCACATCTGGAGAGCAGATGCCCAGGCCTCTGGCTCCTGGCAGTCGGCTAGGTAATTAGGCAGAGGGCTAATTAAGGAGGTCCAGGTGTTCATTAAAATCTCCCTAATTGGGTAGGAGGGAAACTTGGACAGGATAGGCCTCCATGCTTTGGACAGGGTCAGTTTAGGGTCCTTTGCACCCACCTTGGTCCCAGCCACCCTTTCTTCAAAGTCAAGGTGGAGTTTATGTTCTTGTCCCAGGGCTTCCAAAGACCTTGCAACAATGCGGAATGGAAAACGGGGGAAGAGGTTAGTCCAGACTGAGCCTGCCCTGTCGGAGGGCTCACAGTCAGAGAGGAGGAAGGACTGCCCTGGCAGTCCAGAGGTGGGATCAGCAGCAGGGAAGGGCCCTGGGAGGCAGGGAATTGCTGGGAGTGCCTTGGGCTACCTGGCGCAGGGAGTGGGGCTGGATGGGCCTGGGCTTTTAAGCCCCAACTTCCCTTTAGCAGAGGATGCTCCACGGGTCTCTGTGGCTTCTCTGCCTTCTCAGCCCTGATCCCTCTCACATCCCAGCTCCCCCAGCATGAGGCGGGGGTGGGGGGGTGGTGTAGGAGATCAGCCAGAGAGCTGGTTGCCAGGCGACAGTTGCCTGAGCAACCCCATCCTCTCCATCTCCATGTGCTCAGGGCTGCTCCTTAGAAGACTTCAGAGTCTCACCCTCTGCACCAGCCGACCCAAGGGTGGGGAGGGTCGAGGTCTGCGGTGGTCGGGGTGGTGGCAGGGCGGGCAGTGTCCAGATGGACAGCCTTCAGGGCAACTGGGAGAGGACGGCTTCTAGCCCCACGGAGAAGAGTTGGGCCGTCGGCCCTGCAGCAGCACTCGGGGAGGTTAGACTGCAAGGAGGACTGCTCAGGAGCAGTGGCGCAGCTCGGGACCCTCCTTTCCCTGTCCTTGTCGTCGGGGATAGAGTAGTGGAAGAGACAGGCGTGGTTCTTGCCCTCATGGAGCTTCACAGGGGAGCCAGGCATGAAACGGGGCTCCAGAACTGTAATTATTTACAGCTGTGCGGAGTGCCAGGCAGCTCGCGGGAGTGCCTTTGCAGAGGGTCTGAGAACAAAGAACGACTTGGTGGAAGAGATGGCATTGACTCCAAGCCGATGGAGGTTATCTCAGCAAGAATTTGCTTCTTAACAAAGGTGGTGAGAGGGAAGAGGTGAAGCGAGAGAGGTGAAGGGAGATACAGAAGCCAGGGGGTACCTTTCCTTCACTTACCCGACAGGGTAGCCCGTTCCAGAAACCCTTTCTCTTTCTCTTTTCTTTTAAGCTTTTGCCATAGGGCACATGTGGTGGGGAGAGAGAAAGAGAATTCGCCCCCCAGCGCCATGCGCACAGTCCCTTCTCCATTCTCCTCGGGGATTTCGGGCATATACCCACACGTGTGATTTTCAAGCCATCAGGTCTGGGCCCCAAACCATGGTCAGCCGTGTGGGAGTCCAGCACCTTAACCACCACACCACCTGCTGTCCCCACCCCCCCCTTTTGTTTTTTAAGAATTATTTTGTTTATCTTTATTTAAATTTGACCAGAGAGGGACAGAGTGTGAGAGAGAGAGACAGACAGAGAGAAAGCGAGAAAGCAAGCCACCAGATCCGGGACTCAAACTACGGTCGGCCATGTGGGAGTCCAACGCCCTCAACTACCACACCACCTGCCCACCCCAACCAAAGCCCTTTTTTTTAAAAAAAAAAAATTATTTTTAATTTTATTTATTCATTTATTTTAATCTGACCAGAAAAAGAGAGAAAGTGAGAAAGCAAGCCACCAGGTCTGGGACTCAAACTGTCGTCAGCCATGTGGGAGTGTCCAGTGCCTTAACCACCATGCCATCTGCTGATCCCCCCCTTTTTTTTTTTTATATTATCATCATAATCTTCTTTATATTACATTGGATTACATATAACTTTACATTGACTTCCATTGCCAAAGCCCTTTTGAACCACCCCCTCCAACCCCTGCCTATGTGACCCCTCTACCTTCACTGCCAAGCCCATACCACCATAGTTCTAGAAAGCATGACTTAGATTGTAGTGGGAAACAGGGGTGCTGGAATTGTCAGGCTGGGGCCTTTGGGGACTTTAGCAGAGATTGGGGTCACAGGTGAGGGGTGAGGTAGCTAGAGCTGGTTTGGGGCCCCGATGTCACTGAGCCCCACAGGTCTGTCTGTGCTGGGCGTTGGTGTCCAGGATATGAGTGTGTGTTGGGGGTGGAGAGACAGTGGGAAGCTCAGGGCCCACGCAGCACCTTGACACGGAGGAGCGGAGACGATGCTGGGCTCCCTCTGGGCAGAGCAAGGGGTGATGGGTTCTTGGAGGAATGGGGAGGGAGCTGCATTATTTTCTATTACCGTGTAGCAAGAGCAGAAGTTGTCTTTCTGCCTGGGCTGGGGAGAGTCCCCCAGACAAGCCTGGTGGTAGGGAAACTGGGGGAGTAGTCCTGACTCCCCTCGAGCCCATAGTTTTCCCACCTTCCCGCTCCCCTGCCCCTCCACGGCCAAGGTGCCAAGGCTGTCCTTTGGCATCTACTGTGGTAGCGCAGGGGCTGTTGAGGGAGGCTGGAAGGGCTCCAGAGGTACTCGGCAGCCACTGGCAGTGGGAGTCGGGGGGGGCCCTCTGTCATCCACACCCCAGTGGGGGCTGCCCC